CAACCTCAATCTATTGTGCCAGAACATGAAAAATCTGATGTAGTGGAAGACTCAATGACTGAAAACAGCAATCAGAGCTACATGTTTATACAAGGAGGCAGAACCGATATGGTTTGGGGCAACAACCACACAATGCCTGCCAAGAGTCAGCTCCAAGTGCATTTAATTATGAAACTTCAGGTACTTCAGACCATTCTTTATGCCTAGTACCCTATGAGTTTCAAGATCTTGATGTTCCTATTGCTCATAGAATAGGAACAACGTCATGTACTATTCATCCTATTTCTAATTTTGTGTCATATCATAGATTGTCCTCTTTCAGATCATTTGATTCTAACTTGTCAAAAGCAAATATTCCTAAGTATATACATGAAGCTTTAGTTGCACCTGAGTGTAAAAAGGATGAGTTCAAGGAGATGAGGGCATTGGAGAAGAATGACACTTGGGAATTGATAAATTTATCTAAAGGAAAGAGACCTATTGGTTGTAAATGTATGTTCACAGTGAAATACAAAGCTGACTAGTCAATTGAGAGATACAAATCAAGGCTAGTGGTTAAAGGATACACTCAAACTTTTGGGATAGAATTATCAAGAGACTTTTGCACCCATGGTAAAGATGAACAGTGTTTGAATCCTATTGTCTCTTACAATAATTTTTGACTGGCCTCTACAACATTCAGATGTGAAGAATGCCTTAATGGCAAACTAGAAGATGAAGACTACATAGATCTACCTCCTAGTTTTGAAGGAACATTAGGGTCTAACAAAGTATGCAAGCTATAGAGGTTACCCTGTGGATTAAAATAGTCTCCTAGAGCATGGTTTGACAAATTTACTAAAGACATAAAGATATAAATATTGACAAAGGCAAGGAGATTACACTATATTTTATAAGCATGCTAGTAGTGGAAAGGTCTCAATACACATTGTGTATGTAGATGACATTATATTGACAGGTGATGACCTTGTAGAACAAAAGAAATCAAAAACCTCCCCAACCAAGGAGTTTGGAATCAAAGATCTTGGATCATTAAAATACTTCTTGGGTATGGAGGCGGCTAGAATGGAGGGGATCTGACTATCACAAAAGAAATATACACTGGATTTGCTTATGAAAACCGATATGAGGCTGCAAGCCATTTGAAACACCTATTGATCCCAACCACAAGCTAAGTGCAAACACTAGTGAGGTGGATAAGGGACAATATCAATGCCTAGTCGGAAAATTAATTTATTTGTCACATACTAGACTAGACATTGCCTTCGCTGTTGGTGTTGTAAGTTAGTTTATGCACTCAACTAATTGAGGACATGTGAGGTCTGTTGTTAGAATTTTTCAATATCTCAAATGAGCTCCAAGCAAAGGGTTGATATTTAAGAACAAGGACAATGTATATGTTAAAGCATACACATGCTGATTGGGCTGACAGGATAAATGATAAAAGATCTACATTTGGATATTGTACCTTCGTAGGGGGAAATTTGGTGACGGAGGAGTAAAAAACAGAATGTAGTGACTAGAAGTAGTGCCGAGTCTGAATTTTTAGCTATCACACAAGGAATATGTGAACTCCTTGGGATAAAAACTTCTAAATGAGTTAATAATTTCTTGGAACCAACCAATGAAGTTTTATTCAGATAATAATATAGCAATTAGCATCTCTCACAACCCAGTACATCATGATAGAACAAAGCAAATTGAGGTCGATTGGTGTTTTATTAAGGAGAAGTTGGATGACAGATTGTTATGTATTCCATTTGTCCCTACCAAGCAACAAGCTACAGATATTTCACAAAGGGGCTTCAAAAGCAGCAATTTGATCACTTAAATAACAAGTTGGGGATGTTAAAAATGTTCAAACCAGCTTGAGGGGAAGTGTTGACATCTGTCAAATCTGCTGTGACTTGATTTGATATGTCAAGATCTGCTATGATTTGATTCTTAACATAGGTATGCTACCTTATTTGAAGTGATAGACTAGGATATGATTGCTGATTTATTCCTAGTTGTATTACCTTTTTTGTGTACATTTTTTAGTTGTATATTTCCTAGATTAGCACTTAGATTTATTTAGGTAGCTTTTCCTTTCTTTCTTTCTCTTGTTTGACTATATGTACTTCATCCTGTATCCAAACAAAAGTGAGAAAAGAATAACTCATTGTCTTCTATTGTCTTGTTCAAAAAGGATGTGATTTATACTTCAAATGAGGTCACCACAAATTAAACAGGAGCATCAGATCAATGTTCTCTGACTAACTCACAATTTCAGTTTTAAGAGGGAAAAAGACATCCACATGAATCTTTGACTATTTGATAAGACTAGCAGGATCCCTGAAGTTCAGTAACAGAAATAGGTAACAGAAAGGATCAACTGAGATTAACTCTCAAGCTAAACTGTCCAGGTGAAACAGATACAGCTAATTCTGGTGAAGAGATTCAAAAGCTCATTGACACATCATGACTCTGCTAATTATGATGGATTCATCCAAATGCAGCTAAATTCAGGACTGGCTGGAAACTTAACCGAATCTTCAAGTTAACTTGATTGAGTTTCAAGTCAAGTTTTTATGTTTTTTAACTATTATTGCACATATTAGCCTAATAAGTTAAACAGAATTAAAATCTCTTACATCATAAAGCTTGTGGTAGGTAGTATGTCAATTTTCATTACCTGAATGTTTGACATTTGACAAATGCTTATCCATTCATGTCTATACTGTTAAAGTTCTACAAATTTCTAGATAACCTAATAGTTTGACATCTATTGAGAGATATCATTTAACACGTTAGCTACAGATTTTAGCATGATCAGGATCCTGGAAATATAAAAAACCTTGAAAAGCATCTAAAATAAGCTTATAATAATACCTTAAAGGTGAAATGTTGAATTTTCGAGAAAAAAATGATGACAAAAAAATTTAATAAATTTGTAGTACCTTCAAAAGTGAAACCTTGAATTTTACTGGGATATCATTTGCAGTAGGGATTTTGTAAGTTCCAGGTCCAGAAGTATACAAGTGGCCTGGTCTAATCCACTTGTGATCTGCATCTCCCCATTTTAGCTCTTCAAGTGCTATCCAACCCAAACCTTGAACAAAAGCTCCCTCAATCTGTAAACCACATTGAAGGGAAAAGGTGAAGGTGGTAAAATATTAGGAAAAATAATGTGAGAAAAGAACACATAAGTGAAGAAATCCTGAAAAGGTATCTGCAAGTAAACTAATATGCCTTTCTTTATCTTTTTTTCTTTATCTTCATTATGGACATGACTATCCCATAAAATGGCAAAAATGAATAATGAAATAAATGCCCCAGACATAAACATTCAAAAGAATAACATAATTATGCAGATGTATTTTTTTATGAACAAAATCAAACATAATTTTAAGTTACACTGTTACATTACCATTTTGCCAATAGCCACAAGATATATATCATGGGCAAGTTATAATCTAATGCAAATTAAAAACAAAACAATTTCTAACAACTATGAAGTTTTAGTTATTTATTTACTTTTATTTTCTTTGTGGAAGGGGGACAACAAAAATAACATCCAAAGAAAGTTAAGTTAAGTTGGATATGACATAAACAACAAACAGAAGTTACAAGCCTATTAAATGTGACACAAACAAGCTATACCATGGTTAGTAAAAAGGTACTTCGGTTTATGCCCACACTATTGGGTACTTAGGTTTCTTTTTCTCAGATCAGCTCAAACTAGATTATTGTCCATTACGAAGAGAGATTTTTTGTTTTGCCTGCTCATGTCCATTTGGATTTTGGACATCTCAAATGATCCTCTTCTTTCACCTCCAATTTGAGCTTAAAACTCCCAACATAAAACATGTTAACCATAGAATGTGTTTAAAGGCTCTAAACTACTTTAAATCATTTTCCTTCCTTATCCTTGATCTGTACTACCTGCTTGTTTGATATTATTTGGCTCACAAAGTTCACAGGGTGATGGCATCTGCTACCAAGATAAAGCCTGTTAGTATACCATTGCCTCCAGTTTTATCTAAGGTATGCCTGCCTGGTTGCATGTTGGAATGACACTTGATTTTGGAACTCGCCTTGGTTACACACAGATTTACTATGAAGTCTTCAGTGCTCATTCCATGAGCCTCTTCAGAAGATCCAACACACATTTAAAGTGTAGCACATGTTTATTCTATAACTTTATACTCATTCTAATAACTAGATCCATGTGATGCAAGGAACAAATTAACCTTGACAAAGGGAAGAGAATAACTGGTCAAGGTTTTAAACAACAGCCACAACATATTGGCATCAAGATGCCACATGTTGCAAATTAGCCAGCATCTATAGGAAGTTATCAAAAATATTAACTGCAAAGCAAACAATAAACACACAGTTCAGTTGACTAAATATATAATGATAATGGTGAAAATAGCATTATCAAAGGCTTGCCTAGCAGATATGATATAGATCTAGAGATTCACATTAGTCGAGATTAACAGGCTTCACCAGGGCATGCCTTAGGCATTCATATCATGAGCCTTTTGAAAAGACCTGTTAACCTAAAAGGTATGCCTCTACAACACTACACATTATTTCATCTGTCCTTATTGTCAGTAGTGTAGATCCATATAACAAAATTGAGAAAAAGATAGGAGTTCTATTCTTCAATAAAGAAAAAGAGGTCAACTACAAGAATGTTCCTTCATTTGTTTAGAAGAAAAAGGATAGTGAAAATGTGCGTTTTTATTATCTCCTCTGTTCTCTTACAATACTTCAGCCATTTCATCTCTTACCATTTGAGCTAATGAGATCGAGAGCATTTTTAGCATGCTTTCAACTTGATGAGTTCCAATGAGTGTCTGGCATGCAGTAGTGTTCCAACATGCACTGATATGAGAATTCATGCTGGTATGAGGGTGTAATGATGGTTATTTACTTTAATGTTAGTTTGTGCAGAGTAACATAAATTTCAGGCTGTCATGTCAATTTGCTTGGATCCTGACACGCCACTAAAAACTAACTCCTGTTTTTTTTTTTTTTCAATGTCCCTAAAGGTCATATACATCTTAATTTCTAGTTTTATTCATCCAAAAAGTAACCATAGTTTCTTCAACTCACTAGCCTTATGCCTAATAACCAGGCTCTAAAAGGCCGTGACCCCTTTGCACGCATAGGCTTTTAACAAGTTTGTAAAGAAGCGACGATTTATTAAATGATAAGTATTCATTAAGAAGTTGCTTCTCTTATGGTAGCCCTTATATAGTGCAAAAACAGGAAAATAGAAGCAAAATATGTAGCTGCATGATCTAAGAATAAGCCACATATTTTTCTGATTTTTGTGCACATATAGTTGCATGTCACATCCAGCCATGCTGCATATTGTGGTTGCATAAGCTTGTAGAATTTAGTGATAGAATCACTCTTCACATCCTGCCACATAAATCACATTCAGAAGAACCACAATTGGGTAGAACAAGAGATTAGTTCACTAAGAAAGGAAAAGAGACCACACAGTAGGATGTTTCATATATCCTAATTTGCAGTCATTATCTTTTCTTTCTTTTGCTTCATTATTTTGTTTGCTTCCCTAACATTTTTCTTAATGCATTTGTATCAATACATTATGCTATTGCATAATGCTTTAACCAACTGGGCTAACAAAGAAAGATTAGTGTATGCTTTTTTAGATATTAGTGATCACTAACTATATCTAAGTTTTGGAAATGTTTCATTTTGAAGTTATCACTAACTATAAATTCCGATGTCCTCATGCTTCTTGCCTTGTACCATGCACCTAAGCTTCAGAAAGCCTCTAGCACTTCAATGTGCTTTCGCCTTCTAGCACCATGCAACTTTGACTAGCACAGAGTGCTCAAAAAATCCTTGATCTATGAGTATGAGTATGAACATTGATCTATGAGTATGAGCCATCAGAACTTGGTTTTAGTCCTGTTGATAACTAAATGCACAATTCCCAGACTGTCTATGATATTGACATCAGATTGGAAAAAATTACTGTGACACCCACACAGGGAAAACAGTGGAACTGTTGAGTGCTGATAACTAAATGCACACATTTTGCAGCAGTTATATGGTTAAAAAACTGATGCTAGTGGTGGACATCTAAGACCATTGACAACCAAAAGGGAAGATCTATACCAAAAAAAAAACAAACGTCACTCGGTAAGGGCCTTTATCTTCAAGAAACTTGTCCAAGTTTGACATAAAACACACTTCATGAAAGAGGTTAAATATTGAATGATACTCTATAATTATGAAGAAAGATCCAATAAACGCTGAACAAGGAACTGTTAGGACAAGTTGCATTCAGTAACAAAAGCTTAAGAACCAAGGACACAAAGTTTGTTTGATGAATGCATGTAACTTTTGACAATAACTGCTAATGATTGCATTTTTATAAGTGACACAACACATTAAAAGGTGGACATGACGTATACCTGCCCAACATCAATGGCTGGATTAAGAGAATGACCAAGGTCCATGATGATATCAGCTTCCCTTGTGTAAAAATCTCCAGTAAGTGTGTCAATTTCAACTTCTGCAAATGCAGCTCCATATGTGAAATAGTTGAATGGAGTCCCCTTCCCAACTTTCCAGTCGAAGCCAATATTAGGGGTGATGTAGAAACCATGAGCAGAGAGGTCTATGCGTTCCAGGTAGCATGCACGCACTAACTAGTGGAAACATAACATGAACTTACAGAATTACACGTCTTTTTAACATGGCACAACAATATTGATGTGAATTATAACAACTGCTTTGCATCAATTCATATACATAATAAACTTCATTTGCACAAGTATGTGCCTCAAATTATATATGATAAGATGTAATTGGAAAAAAAGACACCAGGCAGAAACTATACTACGCTTACAGATGCCATAAAATAGAGCATGACATGCATCTAGCACATTGCTAGTAGACAAGGAGAGATAAAACAAGATTAATACATTATTCTAAGAGTTACCTGATGAGCACTTAGATATATCATGGGACCATTAAGCATACTGAATAATTTTGATATAAAATAGGTCAATTTTTACAGTTTGCAGTCAAATAACAAGAAAAACCAAAAGAGTCCAAGTTCTGTAGTGGCCCATACTACATGATCCGTACTTGTCTGAGAAAATGATGATGCACAAAACCATCATATTCATGCGAAGTGCTTTTCCTTTTTATAGTTCTACTTTAGGTGCTAATGAAGCAACTGAACCACTAATAAATTGGAGTGGACAATTCCTCTACTAGTTTTAGCCTGAAGCAGTGATGATAGTCACTAATTATAGTTTAACTACTACAATAACATGACAAGGAGCTTGTTACATATGCTGCTTTTGAGATATACCTTCCACAAGATAACAAAAACAAAAATTGAATAAATAAAAAAATCTAATTCAGAAATGGATCACATTTATTTGTTGACCAAAAGATGGTTTGCATGATTTGTGCATAATGCATAATAAAATTATACAAACAAATAAGACAGTCTCGCCTCATACAACTTCCGTGGATCGATAAGATCAGTCTGAACTTCTTTAAATGACCTTGTCAAAGAGATAATGATGAAAACTGGCAGATATTTCAGGAATTATAATGATTTTGATCAATTGAGACAACAGAACTGATAGCAAAATTCACAGGTTATAAACCATCTTCTGCAAACCTTGCATGCATGGAATGTCAAGGTTTGCAGGATTGGAGTTTAAGATTGACCCAAATGAGCTGTCAAAGATTCTATAAGTATCTTAACAAAGGCTGTTAGATGGTTTTCAGTGAAAGACATGCTGTACCTACTAGCCAGTAGGAAGTTAAGGTGGTTTACAGTTTATTGTCTAGGAAGACCATTGATATAATCCTTTGTTTCTTTTCACTCTTATTCTGTACTCACTAATAAAATACTTCAGTGGATCGAGGTTGAATCCAGATCAACTAAAGGTCTAGGATCAGAATTGGCAATAAATATATAAGTAATGCATACTAGAGGGAATATACATACGATAAAAGAATAATAATTTTGTATTTATTACTAAAAGAAGAGGGACTTATAGAGGAAGAAGGATTTTATAAGAAGCCTTTCAATGGAGTAAAAATTGAAAGTTCATCATACGTAAAAGAAAATTTTTCTAAATAAATCTGACAAAGTATATTAAACAAGTAATTCACAAGTTTCAGAAAAAAATTTGCAAACTTTTAGTTCAATGTTGGAATAAAGATACCCACAAATGAACATTTAAAGAACCAGAATTAGCAAAAGATAAGAAAGTTAAAGAGAGCAAAGCATCACCTCGGCAAAAGAAGAATGGGTCTTTGTGGTAGCAATACATTGCATTCGTGCCTTTATTTGCTCACAAGCATCTAAAACTGCAGCACCATATAGATCAGAGCTTGCAGAAGCTGCTGTTGGTGATGCGTTAGGTACCTAGATATTATCAAAATTGTATCAACTAAAAGGAAAAACTAAGACATGCAGTGTTTAAAAGGTTGTGCACGTGAAGAAAATTCACCTTATCTGTACTTGTATCTGAGATAAATACAGAACTAAGGGGAATGTTGAAGGCTGATGCAGCTATCTGTGCAACTTTTGTATGTAGGCCCTGTCCCATCTCAACACCTCCATGTGTCACTAGAACTGTCCCATCAGTATAAACTTGCACAAGAGCACCAGCCTATAAAAGAAAATGAAAAGCGGGTGAAATAATTAAAGCATAACAGAGCATGCACAAGACATTGATATTCTAATTTAACCATGAACCTTCTTAAAAAGTTAAAGTACATTTCTAGTAGCATATTTTGTAATATTTGTCTAAGAGTACAGATAAAAAACATATTATAATTACTAAACAGGATAATGATCTCTCTTCAGAACATGATATCCAAGTTTTCTAGAAGACGAACTTTTAGACATTTAAGCAGAACAAACCTAGTCATCATTTTTTCATAGTTGTTCAAGTAGAAACGGACATAATATTTCAATTATGCACAGTTAAATAAGATTTAATAGAAGAAGGATTAATAATAACAAAGAACAATTGATATGAATAGAAACATATCCTAATAAAAAGTAGAAACTTTGCTAGAGGTCCTTTACCTGGTTCATATGCTTTGTGGTAAAGGAGATACCAAACTTGGTAGGAACCATTGCAACTCCACGCTTTCTCCAGCGGTTATGGAGATTAAAATGATTGACATTTGCACGAGCCTTTACAAAATCACAAGATGTCTTCAATTCATCCCACAGCTGAGTCAATGTACATGATTGAAGTATCATACCATAATGTAACATGGATCCTTCATTGTGAAAATTAAGCTCCTGATACCACAACAATGAAATATTCCGAAAAAGAATGAAAAATCAACAGAGCAATGTCAAAATTTCCCTGTATGAGAATTATGCATAACTAAACTTACCCTTATCTCTTCAGGACTTCTCTGTAGCTCCATGGCAATTCGTTGAATCCAATTTTCTGCAATAAGCATTCCTTGAGGACCTCCAAAACCCCTGAAAGCTGTATTACTTGGGAAGTTGGTGTAACAAACTTGTCCTCTAACTCTCATATTTGGAACATCATAAACATTGTCAGAATGAAACATAGCACGCTCAAGGACTGAGCAGGACAAATCTAATGAATTCCCACCATTGTTGTAGAGTTGGAGATCCAATGCCAAAACTTCACCAGCAGTAGTAAATCCAACCTGTAAAATACTCATAGTTAAACTTTTGTTCTGAAAGACAAATAAAGTATATGTTGTCAAACTTCACAGATTTTCCTGATCAAAAGATTGGGTCAAGTGTATATTGTTGGATCAATTTGAAACAAAAGAGATAGTGCACTTTTAACGCCGAGACCTCAAGAAGCTAGATGAAAGAAAAGTTAGCAGCATTGAACTATAATATTTAAAAGTTGAACCATGGTATATAGCTGATGCAAAAAAGAAAAGTCACTTCCTTTTTCAGTTCTAAAACCAACTTTCAGTGAAACCAATTAATATGAACTCCTTGTGTTTAAAATCAAGGTAAAACCATTGAGAAGTACTTAGCAAATTTAGTGGCAATTGAATTTAGATTAACTCTATGAGCATATTGGAGTTCAGCTCCAAAAAACATAATGAGTTTCAGAATTTACTTCCTTTATGGATTTCTATTGAGCACTCCTAAAAATCCTTAATAGATCCTATTTATATCCAACTTCAAAATCTCAAATACTCCAAAGCTAAACAAAATCTGAAGTCTAGTTAAGCAAAAGAAGAAAAGGACAAATTCCTAAAGACATGCTATCTTTAACTATATGAAGAATGTTCTTAAAGCAATCTAATGATCTGAAAGATATAACATGACCCAATGTAAACAATTCCAAGCCATCAAATCTGCAAATTACTTTCAGTTGCCTTGACCAAATGCAACTGGCAGTTTAAGCAAGAAACAAAATCAACAATCTTCCTGTCTTAACAAGGAAATATATCCACTATGTTTCTCATTGTCCTTCAAGTTGCCATGAATCAAGCAACCTTCACTAGAATAAGTATTTCATATATATCCTACAGCTAATGGTAAAGAAAAACTAACTGAAGATCTTGGTCTCAGCGCAAAGAGCTTGCCTTAGAGCTTGATCTTTTGCTTAGCAGGTGAAGCAAAGCTGAAAATGGGTTCACCTAATGAACAAGCAAAGCTAGAATAGCTCCGATTCCTAACACCAAATTAGACCTCAGTAGCTCAACATCTAACTTGAGCTCTTGTGCAGCTCAAATCCAATTAAATCAGCAGCTCAAGTTCAAACAACTAGTAGGCCTGAGAATCCAATACCCAACTCAGCTAGACCAGTTTCCATCCCAAATAAAAATGGAAAGGTCTACCAATAGATATTCAAGGTGAGCTACAAGTTCAATAACTTAATATCCCAGAAAATGTAGAATTTGCATGACAAATTTACAGTGCATCTTGGACTACCCAACTCAACTCTTACAGAAACATCCTCCTTGCATAGGAAAGATAAAGCGAAAGCCACAACAAGTAACCCCTCTTGCATCTTGCTTGCCATGTCTCTCCCTTCTTTCAGTCTCTCCAACAAAGGATTTCAAGTCTATCCTAATCTCCTGAAGAACTTCTACAACTTTGCCTCGCTTAATATCAAAAATTCTACAAATAAACTCCACAGAGTATACAATCACCAAAAAGTTACATTCCTCATCATGATTATAAACATCTTTAAAGACCCTATCCTTCCTCAAACAAAGGAGACAAACCATAGTTTTAGAAAACATCTAAACAGAAAAACCAATTGTATGATTTCCCTGGACTGAAATTTTGTATTAATCTGTCATTCATGGATAAAAACTGGATGCCAAAATTAGTTTTCTTAAAACAGAGATAAACATCCATTCTTACACACAGGTATTGCAAGTTTGCAACAATAATGTCTCCAAACCTTACTTTCCATCATAGGACCATGGGTAAGATGAGGGATTTTAGCCTCCAATGTACCAACCTGTATCAGTTAGCTTACGTTGTTCTGACAGGTACTGGACCTAAAACCTAGGGAGATACTGTAATAGAGTTGGCACTATGGTATTACAGTATTTTCTTGGATATATTAGCCCTTAATTTATCAACTGTACACATTGAACAAACCTAATCTACATTTCATAGAAAAGAAATATATAATCTAACATAGAAAAAAAGGAGAGTAGTGCTTTTAAATAACTACCTCTGTAAATTATTGTCTCCAGTATTCACCGAATACTACCCTTTCTCCTTCACGAAGATTTAACCCCTATCTTCAATCTTCTATTTATATCCAAAGTTTCCCATTTCTGTCAACCAAGGCTCATCTTGGGAGAAAATCTTAGCTAACGAAAAGTGTGTTACTCCTAATTTCTCTTTGTTCCCTTCCCTCTTCTTTTCTTTTTTTCTTTTTCTTCTTCTCTATGATTCAGTTGATACATTTGGTGTCGGCATGGTCTTGGTTTATGTCATGACAAACAACTACTTCCCTCCTTTTTCCCTTCTTCTTTGTAGGAAGGTGCAAAACTTTCTTAGCTGGAAGAAACATCAATTTTGTTAATTTTTTAAATCCTTTACAACTAGTATTTGATGACATATATGTACAAATATCAAGTGTTCGACTTCTAACACCATATCCGGGCATAATCCACTTTGATTTTGTTGAATGAATAAGATGTTAAACAAGCACATTAATTGCTCTTCTTTTTTCCTTTCAATCATTACAATAAGTTAGGCCTTTATATCAAGTTTCTAAATTATCATCAAAAAATTTATATGAATGCACTTGTTTGTGCAAAGAATAGTTTAAAGAGTATGAAACAACATTTTGTCCAAAGCATTAATTTTGGTAAATTCGCTTGCACTCCTAATGACCATCATCAAAATTGAATTGTAGTACTACATCAGATCATATGAATGGTCAGTGCACGTAACAGTTTGAGGAAGCATATAAAGTTATAAACTAAGCTTTCTTCATCAAGGTTATTTGTTTATACAATGTTTGGTGTTTTCATAATCAACAATCAGAATTTAACAACTAGTGGGTTAACTACTATTTTAAAAAGCCTAAGCTCATATGATAGGGTTCAACTTATATATAAGCTCTAACATCACCTTGCATGCAAGCTGGATGAAAAATAACCTTGACATATGTAAGCCAAGGTTAATGGTATTTGCAAGACCCATATATGGGGTAACACCGAGCAAAAGATTGAAGGAAAAAGGATAATATAGGAGAACTAGGACCTTAACTCGTGACCTGCTTTGTGGCCATGAGAAAATGATTAGTTGCATGACTACTACACGCAAAAAGGACTGCACCGTCACAAAACACTTAGTTGAGAACTTGGAATAATTGCTAGATGATTTTGTCTGTAACTCCAAGAAAACCATCTTGGAAGTAGAAAAGGAGTAGATGACAAAATCCACCACATGAATTCATGATAGTGCAAGTACAAAATTAAAACAAGTAATCTTGAACATTGTAGTAGTCGTAAACCTCCTGTTATTGTCATTTCCAACAAAAGTAACAAAACTTCATTTCTTATAGTGGAGTGGACATCTATGCGACAAAGAAGTCATTGTTAATAAAGTACTGCCGAATGCCCTAGAACTATCAAAAGATTAAAAAAGTTCCTGTCAGCAATACGATATAATGACCTAGATTTTAGAACTATTTGATGGTGTCTAAAAGAATAAACTATAGCAAATAATATATCTTTTTTTTTCATTGTATTGAGCATATATTTCAGTTGTGTTGGATTCAATGAGTTGTCCAAAGTCATAGAACCATCAAAGGCAACTAAAGTTCCTTTCCGCATTAGGAGATTATGATCTGGATTGTAGAACTATTTGACGGTGAATAAAAGGGAAAATAGTAGCAAATTTTAGATTTTTTTTGTATATTGAGCATATGTAATTGTTGTGTTGGAAATTGAGTTCTGACTGATAACTTACCAGTCCATCTTGTACTTCTCATCATCAGCATTTTTTCATCTCGCTTATAAATCAGACATATCACACGGTATCTAGGTTACTTGGATATTTAAAGGTGTGGAACCTGTATGCTCATTGCAACATTTAAAGATGACATATTAATAGTGTCAATAGAATTAAGGGAACTAACAACTAAAATAACAGAATATGCAACTTATAACATGTTAAATGGTCCTGGCAATGTGTTAAAATTTCAGAAAGGTCAGCTCAACTAAAACAATGTTGATTTCCTGAAATATAGCAACTCCAAATGACAATGTGTTATATACGAGTTGGTTGGAATGCATTTAGTTGTTGAAACATAATTTCTAAAATTTTAAATTCTTTCCTTAGCAAGTGTCACTCCATTTATTATCCTATACCTTGTATTTTCCAAGGAAACTATGGCGCTGTCCAGTTATCATCATGTCTGTATCTCTGTCTAATATAATTTTCACAGGTCTCCTCAGAAGGTATGATGGCACAGAAGCTGCAGCTGCAATGAAAGCAGATCTTGATTCTTTTCCACCAAATCCACCACCAATGCGCTTAGTCTTGCAAACAACTTTTGAAAGTGGAAGTCCAAGTACATGAGCAACACATTCTTGGTGATACTGAGGACACTTCAAGACAAACAAAGATATATAATAACATAAGTCAAACTAGAACCGGAAAAGCTTTCATGCAAGTAACTAGAATCAGGAGAGAAGCAAGTTAACATATAAAAGGAAATTATCACCGAGAAGTTCATAACAACCACAAACATGTATTTCATTTGGATATACATATATATATATATATATATATATATATATATATATATGTATGTATGTACATATGTATGTACATATGTACATATATATGTATGTACATATGTACATATATATGTATGTACATATGTACATATATATGTATGTACATATGTACATATATATATATATATACATATATATATACATATATATATATGTACATATGTATATATATGTGTCTTTGTATAAGCAAACTTAAATAAAATTACAAAATACTAACAATATTAATCCATAAAATATAACATGCTGATGATTTTCTTGTTATAAATTTAAGTACTTATTAAAATTTTCATAAAAAGTTGTCTTCGAATTAATTGTGCCTTTCTGCAGAATTTAACTGCCAATTATCAAGCTTACCCAATTTTTTGATTTGTAATCACAATTGCATTTTAATATCAGACATAAGTGATAGCTATAATGTTCACAAACATATCCTTAACATTCTTATAATAATACCTGAAACCTCAACAATGTATAACCCATAATGGACATAAAATTGCTGCATCCAAGAAGTAGCTGTTTGGTTAAGCCCAAAATTTGGAATGTACCATAGTCTACTTAATGATATGTATCTATATCAAAACCAATGGTTGGAATACCATTTTGGACTAGTTCATGCTATCACAGATGGCTGCCACATGCCTGCAACACAGATGGACCTGCGGCTGTCTTTTAAGTGTTTAAAGCAAGGATTTTAGTTTCGTATTGTACCAGTGTTTCGAGCTTTGCCCAGTATGGTACGGTACGGTATGGGCGTACCGAGCAATATGTTAGGGTGTACCGCTTGATACGTGTATATATATATATATATATATATATATATATAAAATAAAAAATTAAAAAAGAAAAAGGAGCCATATGCTGCTTCAGTGATGTCACCTCCTTTTCTTCTCCTCGTCACGTCAGACAAGGAGAAGAACATGGTCTTTTCCTCATCTGCGGCGTTTGAGGAAGACGTCGAAGGCCGCAGATGTCTCCGGCCTTCGACGAAGAACATGGCGAAGGCCGCAAGCGTCTCCGGCCTTCGGCGAAGAATGCAACGAAGAAGTTGAGCCACCGCCTCTCCGTTACCTCTTGGATCAGGATCGTCGAGGGAGGGCGATGTCAGATCGGAAAGCATCGAGGTTCTCCCGATTCTCCCTCTTCTTCGAGCGCCTTCTCCCTCTTCTCCCTCTTCTCCCTCTTCTCCCTCCACGCACCTTCTTCCCTCGCCGTAGGTAGGCCATAGCAAAGCTGATACCGCCCGGTACGAGCAGTATTATTTGAAATTAAAATCCTTGGTTCAAAGTCATTCCACTCTTAATTGCCTTGGAAGTGTGTTTACTAAATTGCTTGAGTGCTGCATTATCATTCGAGGCATCAATACTTGCCCGCTGCTCGATTTCAAAACTAATCAAATTTTGTTTTTGTAGGTCTTTCAGATAATGTTGCACCTAGGTTCTAGGCTGACTCTTTGCTACCGGACATCATAAGGATACCTCACGACTTAGACAAATTCAGTTAAGTACATTATAACATGGACTGACTTTTATCAATATGATATCCAATTGGGATGCAGACCAGTGGATCTTACCTGGTTTGGTCTAGTATGGACTGTACCATACAGTAAGCTCACTGAACTGAATTTATTGAGTGGTAAATTGCTTGGTTTTGAACTGTACACAGGTGATATACTTACAAGCTCAGTACCTATAGTCATTCTTTTATGTTTTAACAGGTGTGAATGATAACAGTGATTTTTTAAATTTTTGTTTGTTTTCCCTCATTCTCTCTCTCTCTATCTCTCATGCAAACTCTTTTTTCCCCTCTACTGCCTCCTCTTCCCACTGCCGCTGCCATTGCCTCCATGCTGCTTTATCACCAGCATTTCCTCTTCTTATTGGTTGTTGTTTCCTCCTCATCTTATTCCCTCTCTTTTCTCCCTCCACTCTGAACCAGGGGTACTAACTCTTATTGTGTTGCTACATCAATCCATATCAAAATCATACTGACTCAACCACTAACCGATATTGGCATCAAATTAAGATTTTAAACCTTGATACAACAACAAAACCATAAGTCCCAACTATTTGGGGTCGGCTACATGGATCTTTTTCTACCATTGAGATCTGTAAAAAACAGCTCTATATTGAAATCGATTAAGATCTAAGCTCATGAGATATGACATAATTTTACGTTGGTTATTAGTGACGTAACGTAACCCTCCACCTTTTTCATACAAGCTTAGGATCGGTATTGGCGGTGTTATTTTAAACCTTGATAAAGACATTAAATCCAAACAGTGATTTCAATAGGCGCTCGGGCGCTCGCCTAGGCGCTCGGACGAGGCAAGGCGAGGCCTTAGCGCCTCACTTCATTTCCAGGCGGGGTGCTTCAAAGAGGCACCGCCTGGGTGCTCGACCGAGCCCCGGCGTTAGGCGCTTCGGGCAAGCGCCCGGGTTAAACCAGGCGACCGAACCATTGTTTTAGGTCTAGTGGGCGCTCGACCGAGCCTAGGCGTCAGGCGCTTCGGGCGAGCACCCGAGTTAAACCGGGCGACTGAACCAGTGTTTTAGGTCTAGTTCGATCTCTAGTGCTTTAGTTGGTTCAATCGAACCAACTAAAGCACTGATATCAACCTTCCTCTTGCGACTTCCCAATCCTAACCTTGCTCGCCGCTCCCGCTCCCGCTGCTCGCTGCTATCACTGCCGCTGCCACTATCGTTGCTTCCGCTGCTGCTGCTCGCCGCTACCACTGTCGCCACTCCCGATGCTCTCAGTCAGCAGCCTCGATCTTCCTCTTACTCACACTCTTCTCACTTCGATAGTATACTGTTAATAGTATATTAATAGTATACCGCTAACTATATACTAGTAACAGTATATTTATTTATTAGATTAATAATATATTATTTTAATTTTAATACTGTTAATTTTTATTTATTTTAAATTATTGTTATTGTTTTGAATTTTGAGACTTTTTTTAATGTGATATTGTGATTTTACAAGGTTATCTTAATTTAATATCATATTTTTATTTAAATAATTATATTTATTAATTATATTATATATTTTTATATTTTAATGTCTCGCTTCGCTCAGGCGAGCACCTATCGCCTCGGGCTTTTTTGGATCATAGCGCCAAAAGGCACCTAGCGTTTTTTAAATCACTGAATTCAGAAGTCTCAAATTAAGAGTACAAGACAAGAAAATAACATACAAGTTAATAATCATGACTGGTGAAAGGAATTGTGCTAATGTATGAAGGTTTAGCAATCCAAAGAACATCAACCTACTTGTGTAGAGGAAACCATATGAACTTCATTTCCACCATCGACTGGCCAAATCAAACTGCCATTTGGTTCCAAGTAAAAGTGCTCTTGTCCTCCAACTTGAACCTCTCCTTCTATGATTTTGTCACATTCACCTGACTTGAAACACAACTCTACATCTCCTTTCATGAGCCATCTTTCAGTGTTTGGATAAAAGCTGCAAGATCTCACAGCTTCTCTTATGGATAAGATAGCAGGCAAGTCTTCATATTCAATATGCACTTTATTTGAAGCTATCTTCGCATTGTCATGTGTATCAGCCACAACAACACCAACAATCTACATCAGATAAGTGCAAAATTAATAAGATTGATAAATGTTGTTCTTGTCTTTTAGGCCTGACACAAAAATCTAAAAGTAAGTAAAGCATAAACACTTGGTATTTTTTGTATGGATTTATACCTGTCCAACACAAGTAACAATGTCTGAAGCAAATAGTTCCTCGTCTTTGAGAATTACACCAAGTTTATTACTTCCAGGGATGTCTCTGTAAAGGAACAGACCAACAAATCCAGGTGAAGACTTGGCCATCACATCATCTATAGACAAAATTCGTGCATGAGCCCTTTTACTCAATATTAAAGCAGCATGTAAAGCTTGTGGAGGATGTGGTATGTCATCAATATATTCAGCCTCACCCGTAACCTGAGGACAGTTTATAATTAGAAAAAAAGGTGGTCATTTATGTATAGAAGGAAAAAAAGAAACATTTTGTGTTCCTATTTGTTAGTCTCTAAAGCAGGCATATAATAATGGATATATAGAATCATAAGCAACAAAGCTAGACAAATTTGTCACCTTATATAAAATTCTATCTAATTGTTTCCGTCACCATATTCTGATCAACAGTTAAAAGTATTAAGTAGCAACTATCTTGTTGTCGTCCAATGACAGAATATATTACAAGTCCTTCCCATCATAAAAATTGAATAAAAAAGACCAGAGAATGATCACCAAGAGTGAATACGTCAAATTAATATGCATATATGACTTAAATAAATATGTTTGTTATGAGGGTTGCAACTTCCTAGTATTCAATCTAATAATCAACAAAATATTCTAAAATGAAATATGTCACTGTAAGATGCTTGTGTCCCCAATATGACCACATATTGTAACAAAATATGAAACAGTATTTGCCACTTACGCTTGAGAAAATGGCAGCCAGAGCTCCAATATAGTGTCAAGGTAGCAAGACTGGCAAATATTAGTATAACATAACTTCATCTTTTTCCCTTGGGATAGGTCAATAAACCAGTTGAATTTTTGCTTCCTTAATGGTGTAATTGATTTATGAAAAATAATAAATAATAGATTAGAGTGACAAACAACAAGGAACAAGGTTGGAAATAAATTGGAAGTTTATTTACATAATTACATCATCAGAACTATCAAAACAGCACACTTAATTTAGGCCAGAGTCAGAGCAAGAAGAAATACATGGAGCAAGGTGAACCAACTTAATCTAGACATAGTTAACTGTATTAAACTAAAATAGGTAGATGATCTATAGGAGTATGATGGAAGTATGACAGCATTTGATTTTTTTTTCACATGTTACATAAGTTAAAGATGGTACAACAGGAAAATGGAAGAGTAAAAATTATTGGAAAAGTAGAAAAACTTTAGCTAAAATGGTCCATTTCATTCCATCAACATCAATGAGAGGCTTCAAGGATAGTATTATTGCACCAAAAAGACAATAATAGAAAGGGCTTGGTCTCTGCCACACATTCTTTGTCCTAGTTTGGTTAATGATCATAGTCTATGTGAGAAACTTCACAAAAACGAGGAAATACTAAACCTAAAAAAAGACTCCATGAAATAATTCAGATTATACTCATCCCCTTTCTAGATCAAAGTATCAAACTACTGCAAAGCATTTAGTAATTTGTAATATCAAGAATTGTTGGCTGGGGTTGCTGAGAAGTCATGACAAGAAAAGAAAATTCCAGGGTCACTGCCATATCACAAGTTGATGCAACACAACTTACAGCACCTACCAAAGAGATGATTAGATGCTTCAAACTTTGATCACTTTGTGCAATGAGATTATTTCAGAGGATATAAGTAACGCAATGGAATGAAATGGAAAACAAACACGGGATACACAAATGGAGGCATATAATCACACCAACTTTTCGTCCCCTATGACATATTCACACCAATAAGGGCATATATCAATTTTATTTCTTGTTGAAGGAGACCAAATATAAAAATGGAAAGGCTTGTTCCCGTGCACAGAGATACAGTCAACAATCATTCTGCTAAGAGTTCAGTATGGATTTTCTGCATGGTTTCAGACATTCAGAATTTAGCATCCTATAGATAAAATTTCTCATGTCTCTCAAACAACCAGAAATACTTTGAGCTTCCCTTAAATTCATCAATCCACTAAATTTCAGAAATTCTACAATTTTTATCAATGGATTTCAGTTCAATTGCCAAATCTGAAAACAAACAAAATCCAATTTCTGTTCAACTTAGGTACAATTTCTACTCCGTCATCGTGAAGAGCTTTAAGATGCAACCACAAAATCTTCAGAATGCTTTCCTAATCGGTGGTATTTGCTTTTTCTTAAAGACTTTATGGTACTAGACTACCAGACTTAAATCTCTATCATTCAGTTACAGCTACATGACAATCCATCTGAGCTGGCATTACTTCTGTAATTAAGGATTACTTCTGGAAATAAGGGATTACTTCCAAAAATTGAGTCTATCAACATACCAACTTTCCAAGGAAGTGTAAAGCCTTGAGCTACTCAACTACATAATTTTAATCACAAACAAAGTGTACCATAAAAATTAAACAATACACTAATAGATGAGATGACATTGCATGATAAAGACCCGTATCAACAAAATGACTAGATGATAAAACTCAGTGTAAGGACTCACATGCATTCACTATACATTGTCTTCAAGAAAAATGAAGGTTAGACAAGAGACGTGACAAAATAACTATATTATTACCTGTAGTTTTGATGAAAGATGAATTGCAGGTTGTCCCACAGCTGTCTCATGTCTTGTCAGGTCATAGCTCTGAATTCCACTAGTTTGTGGTCTCGAATAAGCCTGTATGGCTGATAGATGTTTTCCATGCAAGCCTTCACTGAAAGATCCTTTCTCATACATCTCATTTGTAACCCATGAAAAAAATTTGAAGAAAAAACTTAAAATTAGGGATTTGCGGAATTCAATCATTCCACCTGGTGCATCTTCTGTAAGTACAATATCCTCTTGCAAAATTTTCAGTGCACCCTGCAACAAGTTATTGTCCCATTTCTTTTTTCTGAGAAAACTCTGAGTTTTTGATGCAATTAAGGAAACTGGGGCAACCCCTCCATAAATAATGGAAACATCAGAAACTTCCCAGATTCCACAATCTTGTTTAAGAAGCACACGCATGCCAGCATTAACAAGTGCAATATCATCCTCCCTTCGGTGTGCTTGCTTGAACTCTTTGACAAATTCCAAACTTCTAGTCCATGGTAGAAAAACTGAGAGTAAAACTTCATCATTTGCAAGATCAACTTTGCGGTAACCAAGAAAAAACTCTTTTGCAGGTATGGTCCTAACATTTCCTTTGCAGTTCATGATCCGCATAATTGCTCCTGCAGCCATCCAAAGTGGATTCAAGTCTGATATTGGACTAGCAGTGCAGATATTTCCACCGACAGAAGCAACATTCTTTATCTGATTTCCAGCGAACCATTTCAGCTGCCTCAGAATGGCCTTGCATGATGAGGTTTCTTCAACAGGATGTTGCATTATAACCTTTCTAAGAAATTGCTGAAGTAGAGTTAGCCTAACAGAAGCACCGATCTCAAGTCCATTTTCATTCATGCTTAATATGTTAAGCTCTGGCACATGTGTGACAGATATTAAAACTTGGTACTGGGAATTTTTGAATTTTGTCTCGATACCTACTTCAGTATTACCAACTACAAGTTTGGCATCTGGATAACGTGACTTCAAATCTAATACATGCTGAAGTTTAAGAGGTCTGTACCACTTAACTCCACCAAAACCATGCAAACACAGAGGCATATTTTTCCTTAAAATAAGCTCTGGTGGGAAGATAAGTTCCTTCTCAAAGTACAAACTCCCATCAATTTTGTTGTACAAGACAGGGCTGTATTGCTTGACACAAACTGAGTTGTCCCTCCTGTTAGCTGTACCTTTCCCACAGGAGCATGGTTTTCCACTAGAAGGACAAATTAACTCACCAGCTGAGGTGCTTTCCAAAGATGTCTTAGCGTATAATAAATCATCAGTTTTAGCAAAGACACGAAAAGCATCAAGAATTGGTCTATAACCCGTGCAGCGGCACAAATTTCCAGCAAGGGTTTCTTCAATCTGCTCTTCAGTAGGTGGTTCACCAGATGATCTTAGTAGTGCATACATTGACATGACAAATCCAGGAGTGCAAAAGCCACATTGTGAACCATGAGCTTGAGCTAAGGATTCCTGCATAGAATTTATCAATAAAACGAAGCAATAAGTCTTTATGATTCCAACAATCAATTGAGACAAACAGATCAACATAGAATTGAGCAGGTTCCTAGCAACACTGAACCAAGTTTTGCAAAGTTATTAAAAAGACTTTGATAAGCTAGGAGGAGATGAACATGATAAATAGGGACAGGCTAACATGACAAATCTTGTAAAAGTAGGGCATCATACAGAATGACATGACATCTACTAATGTAAATATATTTTCATGTTCCTGTAATAATGCACTTAGTACTGTATAAAATATATGTAATCATCATATGTAAGAAGATACAGAAACATAACAATCGTTCATATAAGAAGCAAACATTCTTTTAAGAACTTGAAACACACACACACAATAGGGCATATCGAAATTCCAAATAATATATATTACGAATTTTTGACAAGTACTGAAGCCAGAAGCCATACATGAATGATTTTAGCATCTGACATGAAAGCATGAAAAAGGATAGCCCAGCGAACAAGGCTCTCAACAGTGTAGTGTATGGGCTGTGTTAACAAGTGTATGGATGTGATAAAAATCCTAACATATTTAAACTACTTGACATTTAAGAAGGGTCTAACAGGTGCTGGTATCTGAGACAAACACAAAACAAACATGACAAGCATTTTGACATTGGTGCTCGAAATGAGAAAACTAGTGATTGAGATAAGGGACAGATATAAACAGTTCAAAAGTTATCCTATTGTTTGAAAGAAAGAACACAAAACGAGCTTATACCATTCACTGATTTTAATTCTTAAATAATTATTATGATTTTCATGCATAAAGACATCATGAAACTCCTTTCTTATACAAAAAAAAAAAAACCTCAACTCCTATATTTATTACTGAGTATAAGAATAACCAACTAATTATAAATGTAAAAGATCACAATAAACCATTTGTCACCATGAGAATCACAAGTTCAGTATGTAATGGTACAAGCCAAAAACTAGAATGCAAGGTTTTAACTTTTAAGTGCCCATGTCTGCATAAAAATCTTGAGCTAACCCAAGATTGAGACCAAGAAAGGCCAGTCTTGACCCAAGTAGACTGGATTAGCAAACATGGTTAGTTATGAACAGACAAGCCTTTTGAGTGAGAAACTAGCCATTCTAGTCTAACCATATGTTCAGGGTGGGAAGATTTTCCCTTTGTCAAGATTATCCACTATTACACAACATATTTCTCTTTGGCTTTTATTGATGCATAGGAAATCTGAGGGTTATTGGCTATCTTCCCAGTAAGAGCTTAACATCTACAATTCTCAACTCATTTCCAACCATCACAACTCCCCAAAGTAAAACTACCAACCACTAGTGGGAGACACTCCCTTCCCAACTACTCAAGTACACACATTTACAGGAGAGCAGAATAAAATCAACTTTGCATCAATGAAAACCAATAAACCATAATAATTAGCCACAACACCAGCCATGTCAAATTCATTATCCTTCACCGAAAACAGAAAATGAGACATCCCTCGGACCATCAACAGAAAACAATCAACATCATGAGATTGGGTCTCTCAGTGGTGTAGAATCTTATCCAGTTGGATAAGATGAGTATGTGTGTTTAATAAAAGGGAATGCTTTCAGCCTTCTCTTAAGCAAGTTCAGTTATTAATAACTGAAGACAAGTAAAGCTCTACTGGACCTACTTGGAAACTTTCCCTAGGCAGCACTTAACTATCTCGTGCTTTACTTGAAGACTTCATGAGATCACTTCTAATGAATACTGAAAATTGGGTGATCCAAATCTCCATATCCGCTTTTATCTGCCTGCAACCCATTCTCTTTGCCATCACAACACTAGGGTTGTCCCATTCATTCTATGTTGATGCAGGCTCGAGCCGGCTTTTTGGGAAGCCCATTACCACCATGCTCATGGCCCCACTGGCCTGCCAGCGGTAGTGGGAATTCTCCTGTTCCCTGGTTAAAAAGTGGTTCATTGGATGCCAGATCTACTCCACAAGGAGTGGTACAACTTGAATCAATTGAGAAAGAGAAATGAGTAGTTTCAACACTCAATAGCCTTTTATCCCCCCTCTTGAGCTGTCGGTTTTTCCATCATGTCCTCTTTAGAGTTGTGTGCCCCTGTTGATGCCAAATGGGTTGGAGATCCTTCAGATAGGTGCCCAACTACAGGCTTTTGTATTTTTTGGGCGAAACCAATCCAAAAGAATGCATCCAATTTCACACTAAAAGTCAAAGAAGACTTTAGTTGAATTGTTTCTGTGATTTGTGTAACCAAGACTTCAGCAACAATCTTGAAGATTATGTAGTTCCTTCCCACTAAATGAATTATACACTAGCAGCTAGTGAAAGTTTTATGCTCTGGATTGCATAAATCATCCTTATAATTCTGTTGTTCATTTCAATTCATCTTCCAACAAAAGCCTGTTTCTGAATATAAAAAGAGGAACAATACTATGATTGACTGGGAATTGTCTTTACTAAATAGTGTCAAGTCAGTAGATTCTTTGAAACTGCAAGCAATAAAATAATGGTATGTCATAGGATTTCACCCTTATGCCAAATTGCATTAAGCTACCATGCTTTTGGAGCCTTCTCTGTGGTACTGTTCCAGGAAACAGCAATTGAGTTGGATACTTTGTAGGTGTGCAACAGGCTGCTGTTTATTAAACAAGCCACAATTTCATCCCATATCGAAGCAGAGAAGGAAACCAGTTGCAGTTGACAAGATATTCAGAAACATTTGCTGAAATTGGGCATCAACATCTTCCACATCTAAGAGTTGAACTAGAACAAGGACCGTTGTGCTGTATCAACCAGTAGTATCGGCCCATGGGCGGACCGGTACATACAGGTCAGTACCAGCAAAATTCACAAAATGATCAGAAAATAAAAATTATTTTTTAGATTTTTTTCCTAATTTATTGTTATATAAATTATATTTAGATGAGAATAAAGTGTATCTAAGCCATAAATGAATCGAATTTCTAGGTTATAATAAGGAAATTTTAAATTTAGCTTTTCAGATCCGTCAAGGACCAACTTTGTGAGGCTTAGGCCTTTGTCGAATAGAGTTGCTTTTGTTAGGTTTCATTAAGCAAAAATTTTTGATATTCAACAAAATGGAGAGATAGATCAAAATATTATGAAAAAAAACATATGGTTGAAATAGATTGGGGCATAGAAGTTTTACCTATGAAAAATTTTATAAAACCATTATTAGATCAAAGATATTTTATGCAAGGTATGCAATACCGTACCATACCGGTGTTTCGAGGTTGGCTCGGTACGGTACGGTATGGTACCGGCGTACCGAGCGGTACACTAGGGCGTACCGAGTGGTACACCAGGGTGTACCAAACAGTTCTATATATTTTCTTCCTTACTGTAGCACTGTAGCACTGCTACAGTATAATACTGTAGCACTGTAGCACGTTCCATCCGGTACCGGACGGTCCGCGTACTGGTATGTTGTCGGACCGATACGTACCGCTCGTACCGGGCGGTACCATTCGGTATTGCATACCAAGGTTTTATGGTTCTAATATTGGATAGTTAAGAAACAATATATACAAAAAATTTTGTCCCTAAGATAAGAATGTTGAGGTGGATGTACAAAATTACATATAAAAATAGAAAAATATATTTTTACTTGTGAACAATTAAATGCAACTCCAATAGAGGATGAGATTTATCATAGAGGATGAAATTTATTGGTAAGATGAGGAAAAATCCTTTAAGATGGTTTGGATTAATGCTAAGGAGATCTATAGATATTGTAGTATAAAGATGTGAATTAATATTAGTGGTATGAGTAGAGGTAGAGGGAGATCTAAAAAGACATTAGAAATCATAAATAAAAATTTAAATACTATTAATTTAAAGATGATATTATCTTTTTACAAAACTCAGTTGTGGCAAAAGATGCATGTAGCCATCCCAAATAATTGAGATTTTATTATTGTACCATTTACAAATAGCAAAGAAATAAAAAATTTTCATAAACAGTTAACTACATTAAGTTTTAAGAGTATTTCTCATCTAAGATGTAAGGCACCATCCAACCTAGCTAAATGTTCAAGTTACTAAGAAACCAAGTAATCAAGAATTCATGCTTTGCAGGATAATGCACATATTAGGCAGTTATACCTGACCAACTGTGACCTGAACTCCCCAAGTATCAGATAAATCATAACCTGCTTTCTGAGAATTATATAATATCGATGTGGCTGTTATACATTTGAAGATGCTCTGTTGAAGATAGCCAACAGAATAATCACATTTCATGAAGGGTTACTTCAAGTTTTAAGAGTAATTCTCATCTAAAATGAAAGGTATCATCCAGCATAGCTATCTGTTCATGTTGATTCGAAACCAATAACTCTTAATCAGGAATTCCTGTTTTGCAGGATATTCCCCATGTTGGGCAGTGTATTTCAGACCGACTTTGATCAGGTCATAGTCCACTAGAAATGAGGTGGTATTCCATACATTGCCTATTGATGCCTGACAAAGATTTAACTCTTTCATTGAAACCATAAAGAAGTTTAATTTAGGCCCAAACACTAAACTTCTGACCTAAAAGTAGTGGGAAAAAAAAATTCAATTAGTCAAGCCCAGAAAGATCCTTTCAAGGTCAATCTACTCTGAAATCTAGCCTTCCATTTTTGGGGTTCTATTCACATGAAGGTAGTGATCAAGAGAGCAGAGATGGCTGGGTCTGTGTCAGTTCAAGTGCAGGAAGAGGACAATCTGCATCTTGTATGCTCCATTCCATTTTTCTCGCTCTTTTTGTTTCTTTTCATTTTCCAGTGGCGCATTGCTTGATACAGGTCAGACTGAACTACACTGATAATCATAGTCCAACCAAACACCAGTGAGAAGTCTGATACAAAGAAGACAATTCTTACCCTTGATAATGTTTTTCTACTTTTTTTCATTTTGTCTAATCAGCTACTTGCTAAAATAACCCAAGAAATGGATTCCTTTTTTCTCTTTCAAGTTTTGTGTTAATTTGATGCATCATGCAAAGTAAATATGCATTGATGAAGATACACTACCTTGATAGGGTGCAAGGCTCGCTGATGGTCTCTGTCCATCTACTGTTCTTACATGCATTGGATAAATAATATATGCATTGAAGAGAAAAACAATACCTGGATAGGATGCAAGCCACGTAGACTATTTCCAATTCCTTCCACTGTTATTACATGCATTCCTTCGACAGAATATAATGGAGCCAAGCATGCATTTATCGCATGGTGCCTGCACATGAGTTCTACTATCACAAAGCTGAACTTTTAATTAGAACATCTTATATCTCTAGGTTGCTTAAAAAATAACACAATAGCTTAGTTAAATGATGAAAAGCACAACAAAGAAAATCTCATAGATGTATGGGTGAAGAAAAACCAAATTTCTCACTTAAATAGATTGCTAAACATAAAGTCAGCAACAGAAGAAACTGATTCTATAACCAAGGATATTTTGCATCCTAACCATAAAGAAAATCTATAAAAAATAAAAAATCCTTTACTTTTTTCCAAAACTTTAACTGATTAGAAGACAGATTTTAACCAGTTATAATCGGGACAAGATTCTCACACTGATCTCTTTGATTGTTCGTCAAAATAAGAAATCATCACTGTACAAGCTCCACAGCCACCTTCGCCACAGCCAAGCTTAGCTCCAGTCAGGCCTACATCTATACCCAGTAGAAAATCCAATTTACACCTTTGTTCAATCATTTTATTTGTTTTGCAACAACATCAAAATCTCCACAAAAACAACAGTCAATCATCCAAGAAATTGTTAAAAAAGTAAAGGTAATCTTCAAAGAAAAATAAGCCTGCAGTGAAATGAGATCATAAAAAAAATAAACTGTGTGCCATAAACCACCAGAACAGGATCATATTACAGAGACACAAGGTTAAGGATATAAAAGTTGATTTGAAGTTCAAAATAGCAATCTATCTTCCCATTCAATTAGTGCCCACTCATATCTTGAACAGTGCACTAACCTTTCTCAATTTCATCATCAACTTTCCATTTTGAATCCAGCCATTCAGAATTTTAGATGCCTTATTGAATTCTACAAATGCCTTCTATTGTGTTTTATCAAGTTTCTACCTGTGTTCTCATTAACTTCACAGATACTTCTACTCTTTTGTACATTTCTTATATTGCAGTACTTGCAACTTATGATGTTTTACAATTATATTAGTGGGGTTACCTATTAGTTCATGCAAACAGAAGTACAATAAAATATGCAACATAACATAGCTAGTTTTCAGGAGCAAATCTCACGATTGTTCCTGCAACACCCATATAACCTACAGCAACTATGTCCAAGACATGTTTATAAATCAACAAGGCTGAGTAAAGGAACATATTCCTATTTAAAATACAAAGTTTGTAACACCCCTGATTAGTCCCACATCGAAAGTGGGCAGGATTAAGATTGACTTATAAGAGTCTGATGAGTGTACTACTATCAACTTCAGCTTAAGCATTTTGGTCAGTGGTTTAGACTAAACGAAGTTGATAGGCCAGTTAGCCCATCAGGCTCGAGTCATTATATTTGGTATCAGAGCCGACCTAGCATTAGGGCAGGGTGAGAGGGCTGCAGTAGGAAAGGGCTACCCGTGGATGGAGTCAGAGAACTCATCACGGCGTGGAGCCACCACTGAGTTAAACCTCACATGCACTATGCTAGGGTTCGAT